GATTCGAACCTGCCACCTTAGGTGTATGTGGCTGGCGCCTTAGCCACTTGAGCCACAGGCGCCGAGCCCTTAAATTCTTATAAAGCATTTGTTTACACAGATTATGCAATAAGAAAATATTACTTAGGTCTACTGTATAGTCTCTAATATTTCCAGGGAAACTAGAAGAGTAAATTATTAATTGGTTAAAGAAAATAATAAGTCTACCCATAATCTAAGAAGTTTGACTCTTGTCAAATTTATATTTTGTTTCAATTTCTTATCCTAATGTGAAAAAAAAATCAAAATCTCATTTCCAATATAGGCATTAAAACAGTAAAGAGTTCTTTACCAAACTCATTTGTACAAGATGTAGAAGGAGTTCAGTGCTCCATATCCCAGTGCTCTAATTTGGATGGGTCAAGGAAGACCTATGAAATACAGTCTAAATCACCACAAAAATATATGCAACTTAAGCTGGGCACGGTGGCTCACACCTGTAATCCCAGGATTTGAGAGGCCGAGGTGGGTGTATTGCCTGAGCTCACAGACTGGAGACCAGCCCAAGGCAGAGTGAGACCTTGTCCCTAAGAATAGCCAGGCATGCACGGATACTTATAGTCCCAGCTACTTGGGAGGCTGAAGGAAGAAAATCACTTAAACTCAGGAGTTTGAGTTTGCCGTGAGCTATGAGGCCATGGCACTTTACCAAGGGTGGCAAAGTGAGATTCTGTTTAAAAAAAAAAAAAAAAACTATTTATATATATATATATATATATATATATACAGCCAACTCAACGTCTCAATACATTGATAGAGAACTGTACATGGCCATTGAAGTTTAATTTGTTAAACTTAAAGTAGTAGTCGGCCAAGCAGTCATATCAATAACGTTGATGACATGCTAAATCCATGTCTTCTCTCAGTTTAGAGGTCTTTTAACTCTGGGATCTATGCATGGATTCTCAGAAGTGAGTGGATTCTCAGTGAGTAAGTGGGCCAGCTGACTCTCAAATACCTGAAGAACCAACTTGAGTTGTATTTTGAAGGACAATTGTGTAAAGTTCCTTGTCTGTAACCCAAAATATGATAGTAGGAATATTAAATTTCCTTCCAATGTAATTTATAAGATCTGTGGCAGAGGAAAGCATTAACTCTGTTTAACTATATATATTCATACTCTGATACTCTTCATCATCCAAGCTGACATTACCTACCTAGTTCACAATGAATTTTTAGTTTTCTGTTTAAATAGGAAGAATTTTGTCAGGATGCTTTCACATATAAGAATATTTCAGCAGTCTCCACAGACAAACTTTTAATTCACAGACTCCCATCCAGGTGTACATTTGCTAACCAGGACCCAAATACTTGGAAAAAAATTATGAATACTTAATCATTTGGGTCTCACAATCTTTCGTAATTTAGGAAGATGGCTAGAGAAATGGTTAGAAAAGTCACAGAAAGAGAAGATTGTAAGGGGATATAAGACAAAACTAGGGTCAAAAAACTTCTTTAATCCTATATATTAAGGTTCTATAAAGGAAAAACTCAGAAATCATGGTAATCAATTTAAGTCCCTGTCTTAATTCATCAGCATTCCTGAAAGGCTGACAGTGATTTGAATTAAAGTTAGAGCCAAGACTAAAATCAAAGCCTTAATCCCAGTTCAGAAATTTTTCATAACTTTGCCAGCATCTAAGTCCCACTGCCAATCCATAAAAAATAGTCATTTGCTCTCTCCACCTAAGGGAACATACATTTGCACTTGCAGAAACCCATACTGGAGCAGAACCTGTAAGCCCTCACCTTACACATCCTAAGCTGACCAACCAAGGTCACACCTTGCATTTTCCCCTTGCCAAGACTTTGCTCAAGGAGAGTATCTCTACCACTCTTCTTCCTTTGTGCCCCACAGAACTTCCTAATGTTTCTATGGTACTCCATATACTGTGCACGACACCATAACGATCTGTTCATTTCTGCATCCACCATAAGAAAGCAAACTCCTGTGGCTCAGTGAGTAGGGTGCAGGCCCCATATATCGAGGGTGGTGGGTTCAAACCCGGCCCTGGCCAAACTGCAACAAAAAACAGCCAGGCATTGTGGCCAGCGCCTGTAGTCCCAACTACTCGGAAGGCTGAGACAAGAGAATCACCTAAGCCCAGGAGCTGGAGGTTGCTGTGAGCTGTGACACAACGGACAAAAGTGAGACTTTGTCTCTTAAAAAAAAAAAAAAGGCAAACTCTCCTTCACAGAAATTATGTATAACCAAAGTTTTGCAGTGTCTGGCATAATAAATATTAACTGAATTAACAAAAGAATTAGCTTAATTTTGAAGATACCCACATTTCCACAGTATCTTCTTTACAACTGCTGAGATTTTTTTTTAATGGTAGAGATCATTTCCTGCAATGACTTGAAATACAGCTCCAAGATTAGCCTTTGGATGCCATCTAGGAGGTGCCAATCCATCTGAAATCAAGCCATCCTTCCTCTTGAGTGGTAGTACAGAACGATCTCTGAATTCACTCCTTTCAAACAAATTCCAATAATAGTTACAGTTGAACATTGAGGATAAACCACAATTTGATTAATAGCAAGATTTCATAACCATAGACCAGTGTTTTCTCAAATTGGGGTGATAAAAACTCTGAGAGTTTGTGGATATATTCTCATAGAAGTCAGTATTCCTCAAAACACATACTCTTTAGGTCTCAGAAAATTTTGTTTCTTTAAAAGGTGTTTCATGGGCAGTGCCTGTGGCTCAGTGAGTAGGGTGCTGGCCCCATATATCAGGGGTGGTAGGTTTGAACCCAGCCCCGGCCAAACTGCACAAAAAATAGCCAGGCATTGTGGCAGGCGCCTGTAGTCCCAGCTACTTGGGAGGCTAAGGCAAGAGAATCACCTAAGCCCAGGGGATGGAGGTTGCTGTGAGCTGTGACGCCACCATAGCATTCTACCAAGGGCGATAAAGTGAAACTCTGTCTCCAAATAAATAAATAATAAAAAGTGTTTCATCCTGAGACATTACATGAGTTTGAGAAACTGGCACAGACCACATTTCCAAGAAGGCTCAGGACCATTATGTATATTGCCCCCAGTCAGCCAATGTCACTGGGGGGGGAGGGGACTGCAATATGGATAAGGATTAAAATGGACTGTAAGAAAAGCCCAGCTTATTTATGTGGTTCTTGTTGCTAGTGCTAGGATGCATGGATATGCACCAAAATTAGTTTCAAATTTTATGTTAAAGAATTTTTTTTTTTGCAGTTTTTGGCTGGGGCTGGGTTTGAATCCACCACCTCCTGTATATAGGACTGGTGCCCCACTCCTTTGAGCCACAGGCGCCACCCTAAAGAATTTTTTTAAGCTAGACCTTTGTGTTTGTTTTATATCAAGGAGGTTAGGCTCCTTTTAGCTTATCAAGGTACCTGTTGAAAAAGGTGAAGGGAAAGAGGGCATATAAACTACAGCATAAAGTAGGCAAGTAAGGTCAAAGTTTTCTTTTAAAACTTATATTTCTCAGTGGCACCTGTAGCTCAAGCGGCTAAGGCACCAGCCACATACACCAGAGTTGATGGGTTTAAATCCGGCCCAGGCCTGCCAAACAATGACAACTGCAACCAAAAAATAGCTGGGCATTGTGGCGAGCACCTGTAGTCCCAGCTACTAGGAAGGCTGAGGCAAGAGAATCGCTTAAGCCCAGGAGTTGGAGGTTGCTATGAGCTGTGCCCTCACAGCACTCTAACCAGGGTGATAGCTTGAGGCTTTGTCTCAAAAAAAAAATAAAAATAAAAAAGAGCAGCACCTGTGGCTCAAAGGAGTAGGGCGCTGGGGCTCCATATGCTGGAGGAGGCAGGTTCAAACCCCCAGCACCAGCCAGAAACTGCAAAAAAAAAAAAAAAAGTATGCTTCTCCATTGCTCTTTTGCCAAAAAGATACCAAACTTTTAAAAAAAAATGTCTCTGGTCTAGTTATCCATGATCATCTATTCTTGGACAGAAATATAGAAAAAATGTCCAAAAAGCCAAAGTATCAAATTTATACGCCCAATTTTTGAACCTTAATATCTCAAGCTTATGAAATTTAGCAATCACCAATTTGTGAACTTGGCATATAGGCAGACAGAATGGCTACAACCTATCTCTTTAATCTCTTTTCATGCCTTCATAAGAAGTAAAGAATAAATGACATTAAAATAAAACTGGATCACCCAAATGCCACTGGGTAACAATATTAAACATATCTATTTGTCTCAAAGAGAAAATGTAAACCCACCTCTATCTGTAAATTTATCCTACCAATTTCAAATCTCTGTGAGATCCCTTTTAAAATGGTTACCTATAGTTCAGCTGTAGACAGCAGTTGATTATAATTTCCTAAAGTTGTTTCAAGTATATAGACTGTTCAATAATACAACCATCTCGGGTGAAATTGTACAGGACAGTCGAATTCCTAGCCCTCACTTCACTAAAACCTAGCATAGAGCTGTGTAACTCAGTATTCTACAATTGTTGGTTAACTTGCATATGTATTTAATATATGAATTTCAGGTGGAATGGGAAGAGGAAAAGAGACTTAGTTCCTGTGACTTTTCTATGGGTGGTATCTAAGAGAAGGAAAATAGGATGGAGGAAAGATTACCTAATAACTACAAAGTAGTACTTACAGAATTGTAAACAGCCAGAGACTCTTCTTGTAGTCCAAGGCACTAGTAGTACAAACTGCACTCTAAGCTGGGCTGATCTTCGGACATTCTTCTCAGGGAAATGGTGTCTTTCTCAAGTGATTAAAAAGAACTGCTGTTGCATTAACTAGTTATTTGCTTTAGCTATTCCAGATTACATTCTCCTTTGCCACAAAACACCCTGTACACTAGAGGCTGGGACATTAATTCATTTTTACTAGGCAGCTATCTTGCTGTTGAAATATAATTGATTAGATCTTGGCTTATTTTTCTTATAAAATCGGCTAACTGATCCCATCATTTCAAACTAAGATAAGTCCTCACTTCAGGGTGGTGTTTCAAGCTACTTCAAATTAATAGCAGAATTAAAGGGTATATTTTATATACTAGATTAATCAAATGAGGTGACCTATGTTTCTTAAAAGTGCCTCTACTATAAAAGGATTAAATGAGAGACTATCTGCAATCTCCTTGAAATTAAGTAGAGGCTGAAGCTATAGATAAAGCAATTTAAGAATTAGGAAGTGTTAAGCCAGGCGTGGTGGCTGACATCTGTAATCCTAGCACTCTGGGAAGTCAAGGTGGGTGGACTGGTTGAGCTTAGCATGAGCAAGAGCAAGATCTGGTCTCTAAAAATAGCTGGGCATTGTGGCAGGCACCTGTAGTCCCAGCTACTTGGGAGGCTGAGGCAAGAGAATCACTTGAGCCCAAGAGTTTGAGGTTGCTGTAAGCTTTGACATCACAGCATTCTACCAGGGGTGATAAAGTGAAACTCGGTCTCAGAAACAAACAAAAAGGCTAAGAAAGTGCAAGTCATTTTTTTTAAAGTAAATGATGGCTGGTAAAGCTCCAGCAAGAATTGGTTCTAAAATGGTAGCTCAGCCCAAAGAAAGATACTAGTCTGAAGAGTTCCATTCTGGAACTCCTCTGGTAATACTAAAATAGCAAGAATGACAGTGTTCTATCCACAGACCCATCACTCTCTGTAAAATGAAAGACACTGGTCATTAGGTACATAATATAAATGGATTTGGGGGATTAAAAAGTAATAACAACCAGGTTCTCAATTCCACCTTAGTATTCTGGATGCCTTTTTTTTTTTAAGATGGCTATTTAAAAAAAAATTTTTTTTAAATCAAAAAAATTGAAAAGCAGCTTTTCCATTTATATTTAACTATCACTATACCATAGCAATATATAAAGATGAAGAGCAGATAGTTTTTAAATCAGGCAATATCAAGAAGAATGCAGAAAAATTAATAACCTTTCTTGCCAAAGAGATAAGTTCAAACTGTATATGAAACACACCAAGAGCAGCAATACACCTCCCTGGCCTGGACTTGCCTTCAGTATTTTCCATAGCAAAGCAGTAACAAATTTAAATTGAGATCATTAACAAATGAAAGAAAAAATAGTTAAGCTGACCCACCTAGTCCAGGCCTGCTTTTGATAGTCAGCACTTGCACAATGACACTGAAGTGGTAGGGAGATTTGGACTGATGGGATAATCGGTACTTATGTTCCTTAACAATAGCGATACCGCCTTAGGGTAATCAGCACTACTTAGAAGCAATGCAAAAGATATTTCCTTTGGGGGATGGTAGTGGGTGGGGCCAAGGAAAGATGTTGCAGCAATCAAAAATTTGAGTAAACCAATGATGTCTGGAGTTGCTAACTTTTTAAGCCCAAGAAAAAGTTGCTTTGGTCATTTGACTTTACGCAGCAAAGAGGCCGAAGGGGCAGGACTGGAGAGAAGTTTAGAGAGAGGAAGCACGATCTTTATCTAATGGCTGGACATGTGGACATCTGTGATTGTGAGTATTAATAAGGGATCGGGGCAAACAAGGGGCGGGAAAGGAGAGACCTTGTATGAATGGTGAGGCTATGGCTATCTGAAATTTTATACATGGGAGTAATATAAAAGTAGTGGGACTATGGGCCCCTGTTGGGTGGGTAAGTGCATGGTACCTTGTGATATTCATACTTTGTCGAGTCATGGAAAACTGGGGGTTTGGAGGGTTGCTTAACAAGGCCAGGGAAGAGAAAAATCACTGATAACCGCCATTGCATTTATTAATAGTCCCAGGAAAGTTTTAGAGAAAGAAACTACTGATAATTGCCATTGTTTCCATTGACAGTCCCAGAAGTTTGGGGTATTAAGCAGCCTCTACAGTAATGCAAAGGGGGTGTGAGGGCATAGTATTCCAATTTAACAGAAAGGGGCATGTATAATTGCAAAAATATTCACATTACCAGTCCAAGAGGCTTTACTTGATCGGTATCCCCGATGTATGCAAAGAGGATGCAAGAGTTCTATTTAATGATCGGTACTCTTGATAACTGCTATTGTTGCATATTAATTGTCCATAAACTGAGGTTATGAATAGTTAGCATTCCTCAGCAGTAATCAAAAAGGTAGTGGTAGGACCATAGGGTCCTTTTCTACTATACAGGTCCACAAACAAATACAATTATGCACCTTAGTATTCAACAGAGAAGGGCTCATTCATAGTTATCATGCCCCTAACCCAAAGGGAGTATGAGGAGATAAAATCTTGGTCCAAAAGAAGAAATGGAAAATTGCATTAATGCATATCTAAGTCCAGAAGGGGCACTAGGTAAATAGCATCTCCCTGCTCTAAAGCAAAGAGTGCTCAGGAACGGTTCTGGTCTAGGACATGCTTAGAAAATCCTGTTTTTTTTTTTGTTTTTTGTTTTTTTGTTTTTTTTGTAGAGACAGAGTCTCACTTTTTCGCCCTTGGTAGGGTGCAGCCAAGTCGCTCCAGCAACCTCCAACTCCTGGGCTTAGGCGATTCTTCTGCCTCAGCCTCCCAAGTAGCTGGGACTACAGGCGCCCACCACAAAGCCCGGCTATTTTTTGTTGCAGTTTGGCCGGGGCTGGGTTTGAACCCACCACCCTCGGTATATGGGGCCGGCGCCCTACTCACTGAGCCACAGGCGCCTCCCGAAAATCCTGTTTGTTCATGTGAACGATCCATGTGAAAGAATAGTGGATACTACCTACTGAAAATGCTAAGAAAGTAGGTACAATCCTTATCTAGTGCACAAAACAGGAGCTAATACAATTGCACATATTAACAGTAAAAATAAAAGGGCCTTGGCTGATCAGCACACCCTGCTGTACGGTAAATGAAAGGTTAAGGGGAAAGACCTCAGTCTGCCAATGAAGACAAAAGAAAATTTCAATTATGTACGTTAACAGTCCACTACAAGGGACTTGGAGGACAACAGTATCCCTTGCAGTAATGCAAAGGAGGTACGATCGTTCTGAAAGTGATAGGGGTATGAACAACTGCAATTATGCCCAATAACTGTCCTAATGTAAGGATCTTAGGGTGGGGAACCTATGGTCCTTAAGTACACCCTTTTAACTAAACCCAAGTTTTACAGAAAAAAATCCTTTTATTAAAAAGGGTGCAGAGAAATATGAAGCTTTTCTTGCCTCCTTTGGTGCTTAAAAAAAGAGTAATCTTGAAATCAGAAAGCCCACAGGTTCCCGACCCATGCCAGGCAGTCAGAAGTGAGGTGTCCCTGTCCAGTGCACAAAATCCCAGGCACATGCAATTATGCATATTAACAGCCCAAGAAATGGAAATTTAGGGGTCAGCAATCCTGATTAACTGCAAATGGAGGGAGATAGGATAGGACCTTGGCTAAACAGGGTGAGCCATGTTGCAATTAATGTCCAAGAGACATGGTGGTTGTCATCAAAAGCATATATTTTGCACAAATATAAGAATTTTTTTTTTTTGAGAAAGTATCTTAATTTGTCACCCTCGGTAGAGTTCTGTGGCTTCATAGCTCATAGCAACCTCAGACTCTTTGGCTCAAGCGATTCTCTTCCCTCAACCTCCCCAGTAGCTGGGACTACAAGTGCCTGCCACAATGGCCAGATATTTTTTGTTGCAGTTTGGCCAGGGCGAGGTTCGAACCCACCACTCTCAGTATATGGGGCTGGCTCCCTACTCACTGAGCCACAGGCGCAAACCATGCCTGGCTATTTTTTAGAGACTGGGTCTCACTCTAGCTCGGGTTGTTGTGAGCTCAGGTGATCTGCCTGCCTCATCCTCTCTGAGTGCTGGGATTACAGGTGTGAGCCACTGAGTCCAGCCAAATATAAGCATCTTAAATTAGTGGGTACTCTGCTCAAAAAAAGGGAGTAGGGGGAGCAGTCCTTATCTAGAACATAGGCCAAGAAAAGAGGCGTTAATGATCAACACCCCTACTGTGCTGGAAAAAAGGCCCAAGAGTAGAAGCTTGTTCAAATGAAATGCACCATGTGCAATTATGTATATTGTCCAAAGCACATGCTGTGCTCCCTTACAATTTTGTACCATGATCTGTCTAGGACACAGGGAACCTTACAATCACCCACATCACAGGCCAAGGAGAGGGGCAGCGGTGATCAGCGTCCCCTGCTGGTACTGCGAGAGGGGTCTGAGAGTAAGATCTTAGTCAAATGGGACAAGCCATGTGCAGTTTTAGCACAGTAACATCCAAGGTGCATGGTGTGGGCA